AACACATTTTTCCTTTTGGAATTATGTGAATGTCTTCCTTTTCCCTTTTTAGTGTTTTGAGAAATCCTGTAACAAATAAGAAGCATTATAGGCTGTATATCATCCACAAAGTTCCCCAGATCAGAGTGCTGGATTTCCAAAAAGTGAAATTAAAAGTAAGTCTTCTGACACTTTTGAATGACTGTTTCCTGACAAGTATATTCATTGACTTAATTTGAGTTTTTCTCTTTAACCTAATTTTCTGGGTTAGCTTTTTGATTATGGCTGGATTGTTGCAAATGGAATTTGAACTGCAGTCTTGCAGTATGCTGGTCTTATGGAACCATACCACAAATGCAGTCATGTGGCTGGAAGTTTTAAAATGTATAGTGGTGTTCTAAATTTAAGAAGTAGTTAAGATAAAACTAGGAATTCTGGTACTGCGTGTGACCAGCATATGATGGACCAAATGAAAATTTAGAATTCATTTTAAAAATATTTTATGTTTCTTTTAAACTACAACATTTGGAGTAATTCATGCAAACTTGGTTATTCCTTCTTAGATGGTTGGAGAAAGTAAGTCACTATCAGAGCAGCCTCTAAGCCAAGGGTCTTCAAACTTGGCCCTTTTATGACTTGTGGACTTCAACTCCCAGAATTCCTCAGCCAGCCACGCGAATTCTGGGAGTTGAAGTCCACAAGTCATAAAAGGGCCAAGTTTGAAGACCCCTGATCTAAGCTAAATGACATTTCCTGTATGTTCATGTACAATTCATGTGCTACTTTTGTCAGCAGCGCATCCCTTTTTAAAATAGAAACATCCAACAAAGTACGCAGCTTTGGGGGAAGAATTGCAAGTTGAAATGCATAACGTTATTGTGCGTGTGCCCATTTATATATATATATATTATTCCTTATCCTGCAACTTGCTCTTTTTTTGGGGGGGGGGGAAACCATGCACAGTATGCTTGTTTCTGTTGATGTTGCATTAACTCTGTGTGTGTGGTGTTGCTGTAGGAGCGTCAGGAGGCAGAGAAAATGTTCAAGGGCAAGCAGGGTGCACAGCTTGCAAAGGATATTGCCAGGAGAGCCAAAACGTAAGATACGGATAACCACTTTAAACTCTTCAGAAACACCACAGGCAGATGAAAAGTTAAGATGAAGAAGAAGCAGCTGTCACTAATTAGCAGTGCCTTGCTTCATAATGCTTTAGAAGGGACAATATGATTTTGTCACCAATCTGGTGGTTCAAAATTCAAAAGTCAGCAGCTTAACCTTCATTGTACCATTAATATTTTGCTTGGGACAATGTTAAAAGGGTGGTTATTATTGAAGGGTTTCCTGCTGGTGTTTCTGAAAGAGCTATTCTTTGATTATATCAGTTTGTTAACAAAAGATAAGATACTACACTTGATTGAAATCTGGGCTTCTCTTGGGAAGTTCGAGAAGCAGTTGAAGACCTTTTAAAATTGAACTGTACGTTTCTTTCTTAAGTTTCAACCCAGGTGCCGGTCTACCTACTGACAAAAAGAAGGCTGGACCCTCCCCAGGAGATGTAGAAGCTATAAAGGTAATATTTTAAAGAAAAGGGACACTTATTTTCATGTTTGGTGGTTATGTAAGGAAGCACAGAGTTTTTGGTGTATGGTTTGGAAGTGGGTAACAGAAATGGGTATACAAAATATTCAATATAAACCTGAGACACTGTTATTAGGAATTTTTGAAAATAATGTTAGCAAAGAGGATATGTTTTTATTTACTCATGTGGTTACAGCGGCAAGAATTATATTCGCTCAAAATTGGAAAGCTATGGTGATACCTAGTAAGGAAAGCGTAATTCATAAAATTATGCATTGCGCAGAATTAGATAGGTTAACTAGAAGACTTAAAAATCAGGATGAAACGGTTTTTTGCCAAATTTGGAACAAATTTTACAGATGGTGGGGGGAAAAGCAGGAAAGTTATTGTACTGAGATAATTCAAGATTATGATTAGAGTGATGTTATTGTATAGGTTTTTCTCATTAGTAATTTATGGTAATAGTGAAATGAGATATACGTCAAATCTGTGTTACCATGTTCAATGTTTTTAATTTTTTGCTTTTCAATAAAAATTAAAAAAAAAGGTAATATGTTAATATTAAAAGGAGCCGTTAAGAAAAACTGCTCACTGGTCAAAAAACCTAGCCAGAGATTTGATATGGAAGCACATGTTGCGGTTAATTTTCGGAACTTGATTTTATTTGCAGTTATAAGCTTGTTTTTACCACTGTCGTGCATTATATAGCTTTCTCTTTGTTTTGCAGTTGACAAATACAGATTCCTTGCAAATTCATTGCCATGTTGTTACTGAAAATATTGTCCTTTATAAGCAAACCATTTGACTATTAAGTAGCTTTTAGGTTAATTTACACAATTTGACTGTTGGTGTTTCTTTTCAAGAATGCCATTGCAAATGCCTCGACTCTAGCTGAAGTGGAAAGGCTGAAAGGCTTGCTACAAGCTGGTCAAATACCTGGCAGGGACCGTAAAACTGGTAAGAAATGTTCGCTCTTCCAACATTTAGAAGGCATAGCTGACAAATTTCTTTTGAAAGAAGAGATAAGGAGAGTTTTTTTAAATTGTTTCTAGAGCAATTTAGGGTAGTTGTGTAGATAGAATGGTACATTTCAAGGCTGAGGTATTTAAATTGCCATCTCGTTGAGAATGTATTGTTTGAAATACAAAGACAATACAGAATTCAATATTTTTGGGCTACAGAGTGTGGTAATGTGTCCTTGCAACTGGACGCAGGGAAGGTCAGTACTTGGAAGTAAGTTGAACAAATTTGCTAAATTAGTATGAAATGTTGTAACTTAAATCTTTCCAAATTGGGGGGAAAAAACTGATTCAGTATTTGTTTCTTTTGTAAGAATTTGATCTTTCACATCTTTGTTCGACAGAAATAAATTGTATTTTTTATTATCTGTTAATTAGGTCCTTCGGATGAGGCTGAGGAAGAGATGGAGGAAGATACAGTTGCCAATGGATCTTAAGAAATATTTTTTTACATCTTGGATAATCTACAGTGTACTGTTGTTTGGCTGAGCTTTTTGTTCTCTCTTTCCAGATTGTTTTTTTTTTGTTGTGTTAAGAAGCAACTATGAAGATATGCAAATGGTAGTTTGTAAATTTGATACTGTACATTTGAAGTTAAATAAAGCTGCCTTTTTTTTGAAATGCATCATGCCATTGGGTGAACTTTTTACCATGTTTAAACTATATTCAACTGGATTAACAGCATAATTAAACTAGCAGTGTTAGAACTGTTGGGGTCTCCCAGCTATATATTGTGCTGATCTGTCAAAAGTGGCAAGCTGTTTGAGAATTTGTTTTTTCAGATTTACAGACTCATATTCAAATGAGATTTAATTTACTGATGATTGAAAGTAGCAAAAAAAAAGATGAAAGATGAACTGAGCAAAAAGAAAAGCAGATTAGTTACCACGCAGTGCAAATGTGGTATTAACTCTGGTGAAGTTTATATATTTAGTTGGCAGGGTTAAGACACTGGTAATAATTAAAAAAAACCCTACACTGTGACACCCAAGTTGCTGAAGTTATAATGCCATGTAGATAAGCAGGAATCATGACCACTTTGACTCCACATCTGTCAAACGGTGAAATAGACCTGTTTTACTTTGTCATGATTTTTAAAAAACTTATTATATGGCTGATGATATAAACCAAATAAGGTATATATGTTTGGATTTGTTTGTCATTGGTGTTAGGAAAGCAACTTTTGATCTGCCTCTTGCGACAATACCTAACTGAGAGCGCATCCAGGAAAGAACTGGAGTATCTGTCCTTAAAGCCCCATGCTAGTAGTCAGAACATGTGTGTATCATTCCTATAAATGTGAATATCCTGTCTTGAGAGACACCTTGGTGCACAAAATCTAATGAGATCAATAGACAAAGATGCTTTGGTTGAATCTAGACAGGCCAGTAATCCCTTTTAGAAATGTTCAGCCTATCCTGAAGAATAGGTTATGGATGAGTTCATCACATGGAAAGTATTATATTTACTACTAGCTGTACCCCGGCCACGCGTTGCTGTGGCTCAGTCTGGTAAAAGCGTGCGTTGCTTTTACGTCCAACAGATGGTGCTGTTTTTCAAAAAAAGCATGTTTTTAACCTGTCACAGGTGTGACATCTATATAATATAGGTATATAAAAACACGTGTATTCGAATGCAACGTGTCAAAATTTCAAAGCAATCGGTGAAGAACTTTCGGAGATTTAAGATTTTGAACAAACGAACATTTACATTTTTATTTATATAATAATAATAATAATAATATTTATTGATTAGCCCTTGGGCCATATCAAAGTGCAAAGTTCCAATAACAAACCATTACCAAAGTCTAATAAAAGCAATTTAAAATAAAATTTGATAAAATGCAGCTTAAAATGGAACTAGAATATTTATTTATATAATATATATAGATAGATTTTACTATTTACTATTGTTTTACTATGTTGCTCTTTCTATTAAACGCCTACGCCTGGAAGTGTGTGCACCCAGATGTGTGTATAAAGCAAAACAAAATGCATGGTGATGTGCATACGTGGCGTTGCATTTTATACGCCCGGCCCACTGCACTGCGTGCACAAAACGCCTCTCGGCCTGGTTTTACACCTTTTGCAAAGCCGGACGTAAATTTCCTCTTCCCCTCCACGTTGTTTATAAGTTTACAAGCAAAGTCAAGACTCCTGTCTTGGCCGCCCGGCCCCGCCCCGCCCCGCCCCGCCTCCTAGATAGCCCCGCCCCTTTGAGAAGCCGGGCTTTCCCCGCTCAGCCTAGTCATCTTAACCTGGCCCTTCCCCTTTCTTCGGATTGGTTGGAACCTTGTCCCGCCTTCTCCGCTTCCGCCTCCGGATTGGCTCCCCCTTATCGACGCCCTCATTGGGGGGGAAACGGAATTCTGAGGTGCGGCGTTGTCATTGGCTAGCCGTCAAGAGGAGCCAGGGACCCGGATGTACGGCTGGAGAAGATCCGGCTCCTGGCGGGATGGCGGCTAACGTGGCCCCGGACCCCGAGGGGCCCCCCGGGGGAGAGGAAGGCGTCCAGTTCCTCCTCCAAGCAGGTGAGAGCGAAGGCGCCCGGGTCCCCCCCAAGCAAGGGAGGCGCTGGGTGGGGGGGGGGAGCTTCCATGGGAGGAGCTCCGAATCCAGGGCTTCAAAATAGAGCCTCCATGTTCAAGGGCAGTGTATCGTCTCTAGGGATTAGGTGGGCATAACAAACACACATACACACAGAGAGAGCGAGCTGGCTGTGTTGTTGCGCTGCAACACATTTTGCAAAGAGGATGAATCCAGTCTCTGCCAGCCTGGGGGGAGGGGAGGAATTGGGACTGCAGTTCCCATCATCCTCAGGTGCGTGGGCTTCGAGCTTTGGAAGCTAACGTCATAATGTATGCAGCGGTGATCAAGCGGAGGAGGGCTGTATTGCTCGCATAGATGGAGTGTAATAATAATAATGAGTGGAGTTTGTAATATAACAGTGCATAATAGAATAGAATAGAATAAGCAATAGGATATAGAATAGGATAGGATAGGATAGGATAGGCAATAGGATATAGAATAGAATAGAATAGAATAGAATAGAATAGAATAATAAAGGGTAGAATAGAATTAGAATAGAATAAGCAATAGGATATAGAATAGAATAGAATATAGAAAAGACTTTAGAAAAGAATATAGAATAGAATTTAGACTAGAAAATAGAAAATATAGAATAGAATTTAGACTAGAAAATAAAGAATATAGAATAGAATTTAGACTAGAAAATAGAAAATATAGAATAGAATTTAGACTAGAAAATAAAGAATATAGAATAGAATTTAGACTAGAAAATAGAAAATATAGAATAGAATTTAGACTAGAAAATAAAGAATATAGAATTTAGAATAGAATAAGAATAGCATAATAACTTTATTGTCACTTTAAATGTATACAAATCAACATACATTAAAATGAGATTTTGTTGCACACAGCTCTCAAAGGGTAACCACCTTCAATATATATATTGCACATGCATGACAAAAATAAATAAAATAAATTATGCGTATACCCCACATGCATATAGTTGGGAGGAGGGGGGAAACTGGAATGCTCCTCCCAACCGCTGAGCAGGATCCATTCTAAAAAAGTGGATTCCTTCCACTTCTCAACCAGGGCATCACACTTGGGGATTAATATTGCCGTGATGCATGTCTCGAGGGAGAGAGCCTTGAAATGGCAGAGAAAAACAACAAAGATGATAAGGGGTCTTGAGACTAAAATAATGAACAATTGAGGGAACTAGGTATGTCTCTAGCCTATGGAAGAGAAGGATGGGGGGCTTGATAACTGTCTTTCAATATTTAAGGGGCTGTCACAGAGAAGAGGGGGGGGGTTCAACCTTTTCTCCAAAGTACCTGAGGCCAGGAAAAGAAGTGACAGATGGAAGATTATCAAAGGGAGATTCATCCTAGAATTGAGGAGAAAGCCCCAAAACAGAGGGCCATCTGGTGTTTGTGGTTATCATAGTGCATATTTTACACATGCCTTTTTAAAGATGATAAGGGGTTTTTGCATAAACCATATGATGAACAATTGAGGGAACTAGGTCTAGTCTAGTTATCTAGTCTAGTTATCCGTAGTCATGAAGAGATGATACAATAGCAGTCTTCCAGTACTTGGAGGGGGGGCTCTCACAGAGAAGAAGTCAACCTATTTTCCAGAGCACCTGAGGGCAGGACAAGAAGTAACGGGTGGAAAGTTGTTAAAAGAGGGATCCAACCTAGAACTAAGGATAAATTTTCTATCAGGGAGAACAATTAATCAGTGGAACAGCTTGCCTCCAGAAAGTTGTGGGTGCTCCATCACTGGAGATTTTGAAGAACAGTCGTTTGTCTGAAATAGTAAAGGGTTTGCTGCTTCAGCAGGCTGTTGGACTAGAAGCATATCTGGATTGAAATATTGGGAATTAAGTTATAATTTTTTAAAAAAATGTTGACTCTTGGGGGTTTTGCTACTTATGTTTCATTTGGATGTCTCATTTTTAATTGTTTCCGTTCTTAGTTTTCTTGTTGCATTTATGTTTTGCTGTTTGAGGAAAATATTTTTTTGAAAAGCGGAAAGGAAATGGTTACAGTAATAGTTACCATTGTATCAATGGTACTCTAGGACACCACAGTTTCATAGTTTCATTTACAAAATGATACAACATCCAAATAAAATTGTTCTTCTTTGTAAATACAAAAAAGAGGCATTTCTTGAACTGAAAAGTCAGCTACTCTTGCAAAGGATGAGCAGACATTTGCTGTGTTCTACTAGCAATGGCTGTACATGATAAATTACTAGATATCTGACACCGTAGATTGTATTTTTAATTGGTCCTTTGTTAGCTTAACACAGCTGTATTTATTTCACTGCCATGCTACTGTTGCAGCAGACTAAACCCCAAACTGTTTTTTTGTTCTCTATCCAAATTAAATTCTTGCCTTGATTTCTCTTCCAGTAAATTCACTGTTCTCAGACTATGGCTGGTACATCTTTTTCAGTCTTATTATTGTTTATCTACTCGTACAAAAACTCTCAAAAAATCTTCAAGGCGCTAAGCAATCCAGCGTGCCCACAACAGCTATAGGTATGTATGAATAGTGCTCTTGACTGGCTATTCTCTCCATATGTGCACAACTTTAGATCTTTATGCATCAGAGCAGGATACATTATTACTACTGCTTAAAAAATGTATTGATTAGCATCAAAATGAATTTCTCTTCTTGATCAGAGTAGGTAAGCCTATGAAAAACTGGGAAGATGATGTAAACTCCTCCCGTACATCTTTCCGTGTAGAATCTCCTTGGAGCAAGAATCTCCATTTTAGTTAATTTATTCTGTAAAACTGCCTGCCACAAAATTGCAGCAGTTGCTTGTTAGTATTGTGCTGTCATCTGCAACTGTTGCTAGTAGATAATGTGATCATCGTCTTCACAGAACTAAGGATGAGGTATCCATCCTTCTGTGATTTGTGAGAAGTGAAATATAATTCAAGGATCTCTGGTTCTTGAAATATGTTTATCTTATGGCTAGAAGAAGGAAGGCACTCATTTTTAGGTTTGTGGAATGTGTGTCTGCTGGGATTGCCTCAGGAAAGCAGTTCCAGAGTTGTCTATGGGTAGAAGTAAACTTAAAATCTTCTGGGTCAGCCAATGCTGATAAGAGAGACTTTTGATAATTTTGATAAGAGAGACTTTCAGATTAATCTTTTTTTATTATTATTTCAGAAGCTTAGCTTTGTTCAGTTTTTCCTGTTTTGGTTTAGCATTTTTTTCCCAAACAATTTTTTATTAATTTTCAAAAAAAACACCAAATATACAAATACAGGCATACATTGATATCAATAATAACTCATCTGCTTCTCAAAAATTTAACATCAGTACACCTGATTATTTTATATCTATTTCTACCCACCCACTCCCAATCCCCCCCCCCCAGACTTCCCAGAATTGATTACAGGGTTACAAACACCTCATCCCAAGTCAAAATATAAGTACCCAACTTTTAAACAAACAAGTATAAACATCCTTTAACTCTAAACCTTGGTTTAGCATTTTTGTCTTAAGGAGGCTAAGAATAACGGCTAAGAATAATTTCGGGTTGAATTATTCTGCTGAAATATTAAACTAGATAGATAGATAGATAGATAGATAGATAGATAGATAGATAGATAGATAGATAGATAGATAGATAGATGATAGATAGATAGATAGATAGATAGACAGACAGACAGACAGACAGACAGACAGACAGACAGACAGACAGACAGACAGATAGATAATCTTTATTGTCATTTTTTTTCCTGTAGGCACAATGGCACACATTAAAAATGAAATTTAGTTGCTTCTTCTCAAAGTGTACACATACATAAAACATACTATATACAACCTATGTATAGACCTACACCCTTACATATAAGTAACATATAAATATTATTCACTGTCCATCTTGAATACATAACGGAAGGAGGAAGCTTTAGAGTTCACAAGATTAGAAGACATTAACTCTGAAACTTAAGCAACAGTGGCAAATTAAATTAAGGCAAGTTGCAGTGTCGGAAGAGATGAAAAGCACAAGGCTGGTGCAAATGTATGATTTCTAGCCGACTTTAAGCTGTTGATAATTCTCTCTTGTGATTGATTCAGAACCAGATGATGTGGTTAAACAGCAGGAAGCCCTTCTAGCTGCCCGAATGAAAATGCAGGAGCAATTGAATGTCCAAGCAGAGAAGTTCAAGGAAAAGCAGAAGATGGTATGTCCCAACTGGATGGGTTTCAGATACTAAAGCAGCTGTTCATAGAACTGCTGCCTCCTGCAAAATTATAAGACTGGCAGCTACGAGGGTGCTTTTTATTCAAAAGCATGAGGAAAACATACAGATGTTTGACTGGGAGCCTGCATCTGGAAAAAAATGAAAAATCAGTACCATAAATAGAATTTTAAGATACAATTTGGGGTATGTGCTCTAAAAAGCTAATTTAGAATTTGGCGCCGGAGTTTCTATTCTGTTGTGCTTGTGTACAAGGCACTCAACGTTGTGATGAATTGGATCCACACATTGCCCTAAACCATACAGTGGCTTATTTGCTTGATGGTTTGATGCAGTATGTGATGGTGGAATGGAAAAAAGACATAGTGGCTTAGGGTGGTGCGTGAACCAGGTTATTCTGGTTTGTCCAACAGAGTTGGTAAAGTAAACCATAACTTAATGTAAGATGTGAACCTGGTCTGTTTGGCTTGCTTGGTTGTAGCCTAATGGCTTGAAATATTCAGAAAACATTGGAGGCCCAGGACATAGCACAATTTGTACATTCTTTCCCTTCTACAGAGCTGGAACTCCCCTCCATTCTGTTAGTCTTTCTATTTTTCTTTGGGAAGCCCAAAGAATTCTGCAATTCTGTCGAAAGATAATCTCATTCTAATCTTCTTCATGCACATTTTGTTCTTCAGCTTGAAGAGGAGAAGAGAAAGCAAAAGATAGCCATGTGGGAAAACATGCAGGAAGGAAAAAGCTACAAGGCGACACTCCAACACAACCAGGTTGGTCCTTTCTGCTGAGTTGAGAGAACTGTTCAGATTTGGAAAGATGAGCCTGGAATCCAGTCTCTGAATGAGTCTTTCATTAAATTTCAGGAACCCAAGCCTGGCGCCTCCACCTCAACAACTGCTGTAAAGCCAAAACCCAACAGAAAGCCCTTACGAAGCGATGGTAAGTTCTAAACTAAGAATTCGTTAGTAAATTAAACATTTTTTTTCCATTGCGTCGTGTTATAATAGAATTAGCTGGTGTGCATCTTCCTAAATAGCACTATTCCTATCTGAGGTGGGATTTCCAGTTGCCGTTAAGATTGATTAGCCAAAGAATTTATTTGCCAAAAGAGGACAAAAAACCCGGATCAAACATGTTAGACATGCAGACATTCAGTTCTCGCAGGAATTGAAGGAGAAGGCATTGATTTAATTTTTAAGCGGTAGGCAGCCTCTGTTTCTTGCAAAAGTTTGCAGGCCCTTGTTGTAAATGCACGTGCGCATGCAGTCAGTATGCTTTTGATCCATGTACAGAGGTCACTTTCCTTACGTACACAGGCTTATTTGTATACGAAGTTTTGTTTTGTTTTGCCTGGCTGTTATTGTAACTGGTTTGGGACCAATGCAGATTTGCCTTGACTTCGCTTTAATGTACGTCCTTCCCTTCCCTGTCCCCTCCCCCCCCGTGGAAAATCGTGTGATGGAATTCCTCTTTCTTCTCCCAGGTTATAACCCCTTGTCTGGAGAAGGTGGTGGGACATGTTCGTGGAGACCAGGACGCCGAGGCCCTTCCTCTGGTGGATGAGGCTAACTCTCCCGGTGTCTTCCTTTGACACCGGAGGGCATTAACTCCACCTCGCAACCGGTGGCTGTCTGTGGGTTGCTTACTGTGGGGATTTTTGGAGAGAAGGGGCAAGAAAGAAGATGGGTGATTTTTTTTTTTATGTGCCATGCCCGTCTGTGAATAAGTTTGGAGTTTCAGTTCCCACCAAGTCACGGAAACCTATGCAAATGAAGTTCACTGCTGGTTCCCTGTAGCAACCCGCTTTGGATGACGTGGCCCTTCTAAATGGTGAGCACACCACCGAGGGCGACTGAAATTAACAACCACTGAGCGGGGCAGTTCTTGCCATATCATTTCCGCTTTGTATAACAAAAGTACTGTACATAGCCTTTGCAAGAGATCTGTTTCTTTTAGCTTCTTTTCCTACAGAGAAAACGTACATGCTCTAGTTTAATAAACGTGTTTTAAGGCTGCAATCCTGTATGCGTTTAAATGGAGGCAAATCCTGCTGGAATGTGGATGGGAGACTGATTGGGGGTGTATTGGATTCTTCTCTAAGCCGACAGCAATAGCACTTAGACTTGTATGCCACTTCACAGTGCTTGACAGCCCTCTCTAAGCGGTTTACAGAGTCAGCCTCTTGCCCCCAACAATCTGGGCCCTCATTTAATGAGGATGGATGGAAGGATGAGTCAACCTTGAGCTGGTCAGGATCGAACTGTCAACAGCCGGCAGTCCGCAGAAGTAGCCTGCACTACTGCGTTCTAACCGCTGCACTACCATGGTTCTTAAATGTTAAATGTTTTATCTAATCCGTTTATAAACGATCTGAATCAATACAGCAACGCTAGATGATGCATATAGGAAGTCCTCAATTTACAGCCATTCGTTTAATGATTGTTCAAAGTTGCAACACTGAAAAAAAGTGACTTTTGATCCGTCCTCACCCTTATGACCAGGCTTTGCCCTTATGACCACGACTGCATCTTTTCAATCATCATGTGAAAAGGGGCATATGTATATTTTTTGCTAAGTGTAAGCCTATTACAGGTTAGACCAGACTAAAATAAAATAAGACTGTAAAGTAAGGTCATCCTAGCAAAACACTAGTAACATTTTTACATCCTGTTTCTACATGTAGGCTTGTCAAGTAACTGCTTTCCGATTCTGTCCGAGTCATTCACTAAAGGAAAGTTTAAACGCATTTTAAGAGGGAAACTGTTCTTATATCAAAGAGCTGATTTCAATATGCCTTTTATGCTTTATTTCTTTAATTGTTTATACAATTCATGTTTAGTTATTGTACATATCTTGACTAAATGTCTAGCTAGATATTTGTGGTTAGATAATCTTGAGATAACACTTATTTTCTTTCCAAAATTGTAAATACGTTGATCAAGATACGTTCCTCAATTTGACAGACACATGTAAAATAGTGTTCCAGTGTGTGGACTGTTTATGCAATGTTTGTTAAAACAAAACAAAACCATTCGTGTAAAAGAAATGGCCATTTTCCAGAAGCTTGCTTATCTAACAAATACTCAAGGATTTCTTGACTTTGGCACCCTATATTTTATGGTCTTGATTCTGTCAGTATCATGAAACACCAGGCAAAGGTCCGTTTGCCAGATTAATTGCTCTGTTTCTTCACAAGAACTTATTGTATGTTTCATTTGTCTATAGGACCAAGTCCTTTTTCTTTGGGGGATTTTGGATGCTGATAATCTTATCCAAGTTAGGTCAGGAAGGTGTGTTCCTCTGCCACAAAAAAGCCTAAAGTTATTGATGGTTACCACTCCTTACCAAGGTTGTTTTTCATGCATTTGATCTGCGTGTTTGCCAGTTGTAGCAATCAGTTTTATTTATATCCCAGGCTTACACATCACCCTAAATCACCCTTTGGCCCAAGAGTTCTTTCCAGGATGAGTAACAAGAGTATCTTAAGATGCTGGATTGGAGAAGATTGCGCTAAACAATGGATGATAGAATTAACTTACAATGACTGGGTTCATGTAAGTCAAAAGAAAACACGGTGATTTATACTTTGGAATAAGGTAGCTCTGAGGAATTTAAAGCTACTTAATGTTCATGAAAGCTTTTGGTCTCATCTGGGCATATTCAGATGAAATTTAAATACTGAAGAATTAAAATTTGGAATGAGTTGAAGTGATTCAACCCTTAAGGAAGCTATTCTGAAAAACAGCAAGTTGCGAATTGCTTCCTGTTGTTGGTAGCTAAGAATGAAAGATGGCAAAAAATGTCTAGTTCGCTCTTGGTTGACAAAGAAGCTATCTTGGAAGCATCTGGTAGGAAAAAAAATCACCTTTAAATTTCATCTGAGCTTCATCCGTAGGGCTTTAGTCCCTGTTGTGCTGCTTGTAATGTGCACAAAAATGCAAGGGTTGGCTCGGTTCTCTGATGGAATTATTATGTGATTGACAGGTGAACAACACAGGATAGTTGGACACATTTCAGATCAGGGATTTGTAAAAACTATATTTACTGAAGTTTTCAATCCTTCAAGGTGCTAAATGCGTGCCAAGGTACAAATAGCTAGAGGCATTTTTCCTCTCAGATGCTGAGAAGACAAATTATCCCTCTATTTGAAATTAAAATGGAAAACCTCAAGTTATCCTGTAGATCAGAGGTCCCCAACCTTTCCTGTTTGGTGGTCCAGAGGGAAAGGGAGGAGCAGAAAATTTACATGCGTGCGCCCACCCACACATGCGCAAACAGGCCGCTCGCACCCCGGCGGTGCTAGCGCCCGTGCGCATGTGCAAACGGGGCTGTTACCGCTAGCCAGATTTACTTCACCATTTTAACTAACTTAACACATGATTCACTTCATAATTATGGCAAGAAAGGTCGTAAAACGGAGCAAAGCTCATTTAATAAATGTCTCACTTAACAACAATTGTGGTCATAAGTAAAGTAAGTAAGTAAAATGCTGTTTTGGAGAAATCTGGACATTGATAGGTTCCCCATCCTAAACGGTCTTCTGGGTCTCTCTTTTCCTCTTCTCCAATACTTTGCCTATTTCACAAAAGGATAGTAAGCATTTCTTTCACATCAATGAAACGCGAGTCATGTTCTTTTTTTTTTTCCACCACCCTCACTGATATTTTCGTTACAATTCTAAATCTTTTTCCTTGCTTTAGAGTTCTTGGAAATTGCCACTTCTTTAAAAACAAAAACAAAAAAAACTTTAGCTGGTTTAAATAATGGATTTGTGACGGCTAAAATCCTTCATTCTTCAAAAGTGCAATCTGCCCTCGGCGCAAAAGGTGGTGGGAAGCCTCAGGAGGGCAGCATTGGGCAGGATTTCGACAACGCTCCTCAGCGCTGCTACCATGGCAAATTTGAGTGTGCAGGAAGCCGCTTCATTCTTGCCAAAGGACACGTTTCTAGGGAGATTGAAGTGGAGATTCCTTTCAACATCTGGCCTGAAAGAGCCCCATCAGAGAAAATCTGGGTGCTGGTAATTTGGAAGGACCTGCAGGTCTTCTGCTTTGTCCAAGAAAAACATTGACTGGGACTGGAAGGAATTGTGATAAGGACAACATTCCTTCTTGCCTGGCGCAACTTCTCTGCCGTGATTTCATTATTCGACTGTATCAAAATCCTGCTTTTTTTCCCTCCAGTCTCTACCGGATTTGAAATGGATGCTTGAAACACCAGTTTCCAAAGGAAGGAACTTAGATCCGGTTTTCAGAACTATGTTTGAAATAAAATATTGGAGGCGGGAGAGAAATTGGAGCAGTTTGGGAGGGTCTTCCCAAGAATTTTGTTTTGACACCTGTGCTCTAGCTAATGAAAACTTTATTACCTTGTCTCCATCTTTTGGGAAGCCAAATAAGAAGGGCCTTGAAAAATAGTGGCAATCTTCACAATTAAGGAAACCTTAAAATCTGTACAGTAGATTTTTTTTTTATTAAAACTAATCTCCCACATACATTTTTAAGAAGTTAAAAGGCTGGGCATATTGTCTTCCTTGTCTACACGGAAAATCCAGTTTGGTCCTAAAGGCTCCTGTTATAACCACAATTCTGTCTCCCGGAGGTCAACACACACAGGACAGACAGCAGTTGGGGAAAACAGTATGGAGGTGGCTCAGATATTGGACAAATCTGAAATGTAGTTTCCTTGGTTTAAGCTTAGTGTGTTGTGAAAGCTTAGTCATTTGTAGTACACAATGGTAGGCTTATGCTTATGTGGCAGGTCTGGTAATGTGGAGGGAGAAAAGTGACTTTGTGAGTTGATTGTGCAATTGATCTTTGAATAAATACTAAAGAGTACAAATTCTCTTTTGTTAGCCAAACTCTACTATGGGCTGATATAGAACAGCATTCTGGATGGCCTCAACCTTGTTAGCCTTTCATAAGTCTGTAAAGATCTGGATATTTTGGGGGCCAAGTAGTTCATTGTTAATGTGGGTGATGTGGTTTCGTTTTGGGGGCTTATGCTTTAATCGTGGCATCTTGAACATGAACTATTAGGAAATCTTAGTTTAAAATCTTTGTAGGCTGCCCCAAATCATCACTATAAGACAGGCAGTTTTATGTTTTGTTTAAATAAGTCCTGGATGAGGAATTCTGGGAGTTGAAGTCCACAAGTCATAAAAGGGCCAAGTTTGAAGACCCCTAATTTAGCATGTTATGAAAATCGGGGTGTATTATAGAATAATACCTCGACTTACCATAGTTCATTTAGGGACTGTTCAGAGTTACAACAGCACTGAAAAAAGTGACTTATGACCAGATGTTTGGCAACTGACTCATATTTATGACGGTTGCAGCGTCCCAGGGTCACGTGATCTCCTTTTGCGACCTTCTGACAAGCAAAGTCAATGGGGAAGCCGGATTCACTTAACAACCGTGTTAATTAACAACTGCAATGATTCACTTAACAACCGTGGCAAGAAAGGTCATAAAATGGGGCAAAACTCACTTCACAAATGTCTCACTTAGCAACATAATTTTGGACTCGGTTGTGGTCGTAAGTTCAGGATATTTTTTCGTTATTTGAACATGGCGGCTAAATTCCCTTCACCTAGTTTTGTTCAGAACGCTGCGCTGACCCAATTATGTATCCAAAGTCACCACAAACTGATAAAATCTGAATCCAAACCACACACACGATTCCCCGCCCTCTTCCGCAGGATCTCATCTAGTTTTATCGATTAACCAAGGGAAAAAACTCATCTTTACTTCTATTGTCCTGCAAGAGTGCAGAGAAGAGCAACAAAGACGATCAGGGGACTGGAGGCTAAAACATATAAGGAACAGCTGCTGGAATTGGGCATGTCTAGTCTAATGAAGAGAAGGACGAGGGGGGACAGGATAGCGGCCTTCTAGTATCTCAGGGGCTGCCCCAAAGAAGAGGGAGTCAAGCTATTCTCCAAAGTGCCTGAACCAAGGAGAGAAGCAACCTAGAACTAAGGAGAAACTTCCTGACAGTCAGAACAATTAACCAGTGG